TGCGCCCTCAGCTCCTGCTGTGTGCCCTCAGCTTTTCCTCTGCACCCCCAGCTCCTCTGCGCCCTCTGCAACCGCATCCCCATCTCTGCGTTCTCAGCTCCTCCTCTGAGCCCTCAGTTCCTCCTCTGAGCCCGTAGCTCTTCCTTTGCCCCCTCAGCTCCTCTGCCTCCTCAGCTTTATTCCTTCCTCTCTCTTCTCCCCTCCCCTCCCCTCCCAGTATATTGTAATACAAAAGTAGTTGTGTCTTGACTTTTTTTTTTTTTTTTTCTTTTTTGGTGCCAGTATTAGGGCTTGATTGAATTTGTGGCTTCATGTTTTTGCTTGGCTTTTTAGTCAAAATTAGTGTTTTACCTCTTGAGCCATACTTCTATTTCTGGTTTTGTCTTTTGTGCCAGTCCTGGGACTTGAACTCAGGGGCTGAACCCTGTCCCAGAGCTTCTTTTTGCTCAAGGCAAATGGAGTCATAGCTCCATTTCCAGGTGGTTTTTTTTTTTTTTTTTAATCTTTCCACTAAACTATGAGACTCTTGTTTCAGACTTTCCTGCCTGGGCTGGCTTTGAACCATAATCCTGAGATCTCAGTCTTCAGAGTAGCTAGGATTATAGGTGTGAGCCCCCAGTGCTTAGCTGTTTTTTGTTGTTATTGTTGGTGGTGGTGGTTTTTGTTTCCTAAACTGGTCAATTGGAGATAAGAGTCTCCTGGATTTGCCTAGGCTGCCTTCAAACCATAATTATCAGATGTCAGCTCTGTAATAGGTAGGATTATAGGCATGAGGCATATAGGCTATATTCAGTAATGTGCAGAAAGAGAATCTTGAACGTCTATTGGCTATTTTAGAAAAAAATTAATGTTACTATTAAATGTGAATTTCCTGAATGTGTAGAAACATATTAGGTATAGTAAAGATCACTGTTCTAGAGTATCCTCCTATAGGGGTTTTTTGTTTTGTTTTGTTTTGTTTTGGGTCCGGATGTGGGGCCTGAACTCTGGGCCTGGGCACTGTCCCTCAGCTCTTCAGCTCAAGGCTAGCACTCTACCACTTGAGCCACAGTGCCACTTCTGGGTTTTTTCTTTTTGCTTATGTGGTGCTGAGGAATTGAACCCAGGGCCTCATGCATGCAAGGCAAGCATTCTACCACTGAGCCACCTTCCCAGCCCCCTCTATAGAGGTTTAACATGAAATTCTCTTAGCTCTGAAATTACTATAGATTAAGTTTCCTTATTGGAAATGTCTGGACCATATTAGAGTTTTGCTTCTTTTTTTTTTTTTTTTTAAATATTTTCGTATATTTGTACAGGCTGTTGGCCGAGCATCCCTTCTTAATGTGAAATCTGAAATCTCTAATTTTTGTGTGTCATGTTAGTGTTCAAAAAGTTTATAGTTTGGAAGATATAGGGGGTTTAAACTAAGGACATTAAACTTCATTAGTTAAGAGACATGAAAAGTCCAGAGATCACATATACCTCTCATCCAAGGGCACAAAGTGGCTCATATGCTAGGATCCTAGACTTGTGATTTTCATTTAGGACTAATTTTTGTTCAAGTCTGGCTTCTAAAATGTTACTGTTAGAAGTGATCTGTCTAGGGTTGACAGTTGATAATCCACAGTTTTCTGTTTCTGAGTTTATCCCTGAGTAAAATCCCTTCCTTGAAAGATACTTAGACCAATTTCTCCCTGAGGACTACTCTGAAACCTTGGTTATGAACTGAACCTTGTGGCTCCCTTTTTTTCACTTCTGGAAGATGGATAGGAGTTTATGCTTTGATTCTTGGTCATGGAGGCTAGGAAAACAAATGGTTTTGTTGTTGTTTTGTGCCAGTCATAGGACTTGAACTCAGGGCCTGAGCACTGTCCTTGTGCTTTTTTTGCTCAATGCTAGCAGTCTACCACATTAGTCACAGCTCCACTTCAGCTTTTTTTTTTTTTTTTTTTTGGTCGTGAGGCTTGACCTCTGGGCCTGGGTACTGTCCCTCAGCTCTTCAGTTCAAGGCCAGTGCTCTACTGCTTGAGCCACAGTACCACTTCCAGTTTTCTAGTGGTTTTATTGGAGATAAAAGTCTAATGGACTTTCCTGCCGGGGCTGGCTTTGAACCGTGATCCTCAGATCTCAGCCTCCTGAGTAGCTAGGATTACAGGTGTGAGCCACCAGCGCCAGGCTCCACTTCAGCTTTTTGGTGGTTAATTGGGGATCAAAGTCTCACAGACTTTGCTTCCCTGGCTAGGATTATAGGTGAAAGCCACTAAGGCCTGGCAGGTGCTGCTTTTTAATTCTTCTTGGGAGTAGATAATAGTGTAGGGAGAAGTATAGTAGGGTCATCCTTCACTATATTGTGGTTCACTTATTGCAGCTTCACTGTATGTAGGGTTAAAAAAAAACAAAACAAAAAAACCTAAGTAGTGATCCCTCACCTGTCCTGAGTGTTACATTCCAGAGACACCTGGCATAGGTTAAAATCTGCAAAATATCAGTAAGTGAATCACAATACAGCAAGGGACAACTATATAATGCTGTTACTTGGAGGATTTTCACCTCTCACTGGGGTCTCTGGAAGTAACTCCCATGATAGGTAAGGGATCACTGTATAGCTGACAGTTTTCAATTATGGAGAAGCAAAAACAATAAAACCCACTTCTAATTGATCATGATACTGTGGTCTGCTTCTGACCTTTGTGGTCTTGGCAAACAAAGTTGTGAGATCATTTTCCCACTTAATAGGACTTTTGCAAGTAATGTAGTTAATTTTAAATCCTAGATGGAGAAGATATGGCTAATGTGCTAAAGAACATAAATAGACACTGTTAGGAAAGCAAGTACTGTATAAGAAATGCACAAAAAATATATACATCAGAGTAAGAGAGAGAACTGTTCTGGGAACACCTCTTCACTGGTTTTTTTTTTTGTTGTTGTTGTTTTGTTTTGTTTTTGCCAGTCCTGAGCATTGAACTTGGGGCCTGGGCACTGTCTGTCCCTGAGCTGCTTTTGCTCAAGGCTAGCACTCTATCACTTGAGCCACAGCACCTCTTCTGGCTTTTCCTGTTTATGTGGTATGGAGGAATTGGACCCCAGGGCTTCATGCATGGTAGGCAAGCATTCTACCACTAAGCCACATTTCCAGCCACTGTTTTTCTTCTTTCTCTCTCTCTCTCTCTCTCTCTTTCTTTCTTTTTTGGGTCTGGTCGTGGGGCCTGAACTCTGGGGCTGGGTGCTGTCCCTCAGCTCTTCAGCTCAAGGCTAGCACTCTACCGCTTGAGCCACAGGGCCACTTCCAGCTTTTTTTTTTTCTTGCTTATGTGGTGCTGAGGAATCGAACCCAGGGCCTCATGCATGCAAGGCAAGCGCTCTACCACTGAGCCACCTTCCCAGCCCCACTGTTTTTCTTTATGTGGTTTCGCACATCTGTTTTCTGTTACCTTTCATCACCTCCCTTCCAGGTGTCCTTTCCTTAAATTCATTCTTGGCTCTGTTCTTGTACTTCCCTATCTTGTCCTATTACAATCAATCTTGGGGCATCTGTCTCTTGGAAGAGAAAACTTTTTATAAAGCAGCATGGATTTCTGTCCAGAGTTAAGGATGAGGATGTGGCTGCTTCTGGGATAATTGTTAAGGGAATGAAAAGACGGTTGAGAGATTGGAGGCCAGTGTGCCTGGGTACACAGCCTGGGGTTATAATCATACTTTGTCTTTTACCAGTGCCTTTTGTCCAAGGCACTGAAAGGGCTTAACAAAATTCTAGTCTGAATAATATTATTCTTCGCTGTTTGGAATTTGCTGGAGGTGGCAGTAAGGCCCTGGGGGGTGAGGACAGGCAATGTGTTTGTTATAGTGGCACAGAAGAAATAAGCTAGTTATCCTAGTTCTGGTTAGAGCTCTGCTAGAAAGAAAAAAGTTCGGGGAAAGTTGGTGGAATTAGCTGAAATAATGTCTTCCATGATATAAAATGGGTCAAGGTGTATTAGTAGAAATGTCTTTTTTATCATGTGCCACGTTTGCATTTGATATTGCTTGTCACTCTTAAGATTGAATGGGAGGAGAACACTTGGAATGTTTGGCTCTACAGTTCTTTCTTAGGAGTAAGATGCTCTGAGTTCAATTCCAGCTTGCTTTTATAATGCTTAGTATCTGGGCTTATCTAAGCTTGAAGCTTAGGCATCTGAGTGAAAATTATGCATAAGCTTTTACCAAGAGCTTAATTTATTTTATCTGTTGCTTTATGTGCAAAATGATATTCAGAATCTGACTCAGCTCTTCATGTTATGTAAAAGTGTTTTACAAAGCATTTTGTGGATACATGTGTGTGTGTGTGTGTGTGTGTATATATATATATATATATATATATATATATATATATGACTATTAAAATGGCAGATTCTTGTCTAGAGGGCAGTGCTAAAGGTATAGCTATTTGTATTGAATTGAAGCTCATAGCTTGACGTGTGCCTGTTGTTCCAGGTTTTATTTCAGTTCACTCTTTTCCATCTTAAACTGCTTCTCAGTGATTGGAGAAATGGCAGTTGATCTCTTTCAATGTCCCTTTTTTTTTTTGGTCAGTCGTGGGGCTTGAACTCTGGGCCTGGGCACTGTCCCTCAGCTCTTTAGCTCAAGACTATACCACTTGAGCCACAGTGCCACTTCTGGTTTTCTGAGTGGTTTATTGGAGATAAGAGTCTCATGGAGTTTCCTGCCCAGGCTGGCTTTGGACTGCTATCCTTAGATCTCAGCCTCCTGAGTAGCTAGGATTATAGGCATGAGCCAGTAAGCCACCAGTGCCTGACATCAGTGTCCCTTTGTAGGTCACCAGATATAGGGGAAAAACCCCAAAACTTCACATGCTTTTCAGCAACTGAGAAGCCCTATTAAGGACACATGAAAATAATTTTTATAAAAATGACACAGACATTTTATAAAAATGACACAGACATTCATGGTTAAATCTTGTTTCTTAATGTTGTCTTTCTTAAGTTGTTTTCTAACTATTCCATTTTCTTCTTCTCCAAAAATTGAGACTGGCTACAGCAAACATCATTTAAGATGTCCAGCAAAGGGAGCAGCACAGATGGCAAAACAGACTTAGCTAATGGTAAGAGACCAAAGTGAAGGTAAAATTAATTTTACTATGAACTGAGGTCCTCCTAGGGGGTAAAGGAACTCTTCCTTTTGGATAGAGGAAAGCAGAGAGACACATTTTGTTGGATTATCTGGTACTTTTGATCCTTCAAATTTTATTGTTTTCAAAAGATTAATAACAGATGTGTCCCTAAGAAGTCAAGTGATTTAGATTTCCTCTCTCTCTCTCCCTTCCCCCTCTCTTCCTCTCTCCCTTCCTCTTTCTCTCCCTCCGTCCCTCTCTTTCTTCCCCCCTCTCCCTTCCCCTTCCCTCTCTTTCTTCCCCCTCCCCCACCCCTCCTGCTCCCCGGTTTTGGGGCCTGTGCTCAGGGCCTAAGCACTATCATTGAGGTTTTAATTCAAGGCTAACACTCTACCATTTGAGTCACCACTCCACTTTTGGCTTTTTGGTGGCTAATCTGTGATAAAAATCTTATGGAAGGCTGGGAAGGTGGCTCAGTGATAGAATGCTTGCCTTGTATACATGAGGTCCTAGGTTCCTCAGCACCACATAAACGGAAAAAGCTGGAAGCTGTGGCTCAAGTGATAGAGTGCTAGCCTTGACCTGAAAAGCTGAGGGACAGCACCCAAGCCCCACAACCAACAACAACAACAACAAAAAACCTTAGGGACTTTTTCCTGCCTGGGCTGGCTTTGAATCATAATCCTTGGATCTCAGGCTTCCTGAATAGCTAGTATCACAGGTGTGAGCCACTGGCATCCAGCTTGCTGCTGTAATCTTTTTCTGTTTATTCATTTTTATACCAGTCCTGGAGCTTGAATTCAGGGCCTGAACACTGTCCCTGAACTTTTGTGCTCAAAGCTAGCACTGTACTATTTGAGCCACAGTTCTACTTCTGCCTTTTTTTTGAGGTATGAGTTTCATGAACATTCTTTCTTGGCTGGCTTCAAACTGCAATCTTCAGATTTCAGCCTCCTACATGGCTAGGATTACAAGTGTGAGCAACTAGCGCTAGACTTTCCAGCTGTAATCTTAATCTTACATTTTACAAGATTTTCTCTTGGAAGTTACTTTTTATAAACATTTGTAATGGAAACACCTTGACTAATATATACGTGTGTGTGTGTGTGTGAATAGTTTTGTGATGTAATGGTTTCTTAGACTAAGGTGCGTAATCTTGATCACTACCCTCATCTTATTTCTTGTTTATTTTATCTACTCATTTCTTCATTAATGTGTAGGAAGCCTGTCTAGCAGTCCAGAAGAGATGTCTGGAGCGGAAGAAGGAAGGGAGACATCCTCAGGCATTGAAGTGGAGGCCTCAGACCTGAGTTTGAGTTTGACTGTGGATGATGGTGGTCCTACTCGGACCAGCACAGAAAGTCGAGGCACAGATACAGAGAGCTCAGGTGAAGAAAAAGACTCTGACAGCATGGAGGACACTGGCCATTACTCCATCAATGATGAAAACCGAGTTCATGACCGTTCAGAGGAAGAGGAAGAGGAGGAGGAAGAGGAAGAAGAAGAAGAAGAGCAGCCTCGGCGCCGTGTACAGCGCAAGCGAGCCAGCCGTGACCAGGACTCATCAGATGATGAACGGGCCCTAGAGGACTGGGTGTCTTCAGAGACAACAGCCCTACCCCGACCTCGCTGGCAAGCCCTTCCTGCCCTTCGGGAGCGAGAACTGGGTTCAAGTGCCCGGTTTGTGTATGAGGCCTGTGGGGCAAGAGTATTTGTACAGCGTTTCCGCCTGCAACATGGGCTTGAGGGCCATACCGGTTGTGTCAATACCCTGCACTTTAACCAGCGTGGCACCTGGCTGGCCAGTGGCAGTGATGACCTGAAGGTGGTGGTGTGGGATTGGGTTCGGCGGCAGCCAGTACTTGACTTTGAGAGTGGCCACAAAAGTAATGTCTTCCAGGTGAGGCAAGGAAGCATAATGGCAACTGAGAGAATCAAGTTAGACAAATCTGAGCCATCTGTGTGGAAGCTAGTAGTGAATTGGTAGGAATTAGATAATCAGGACTTGATCCTATTTTGTTCCTTATTGACATACTCAAATATCCGTGGCAGCCTTTTCTTTCCTTGTATATGACTTATGAAGTGTAGTTACAGATGGAGTACTTGGACTTATTTATAGTAGTGTGGTGGTATGAAACAGTATAGTATAAGAGCACAGACTTTAATCAAACTACCTAGTTTTTAACCCACAAGTAAAAACTTGTATTTTCACTTATTTCAGTTTATATAAGATGAATCTTGCAGGGTTATGCAGATAACTGACTGGGTTGGAAGTGTAGCTCAGTGGTAGAATGTGAACTAAGCATGTTAGGCTCTAGATTTTGTGCTCAGCTCCAATAAAAGGACAACCAAACCAGTGGAAGATAAGCAGTTAAAAACCATGACTGGGGGTCTGAGAAGGTGGCTCAGTGGTAGAGCACTTGCCTTGCATGCATGAGGCCCTGGGTTCGATTCCTCAGCCTACATAAGCAGAAAAAGCCGGAAGGGGGACTGAGGCTCAAGTGGTAGAGCTCTAGCCTTGAGCTGAAGAGCTGAGGGACAGCTCCGAGGCCCAGAGTTCAGGCCCCATGACCAGAAAAAAAAAAAAAAAAACATGACTGGTACATAATTAAATTTAGCAAATTGAGCTAATATTATTCTGAGGCACATCATTGTCCATATTGATATTAGCTGTTTATCCCTAAGCATATTCTTTCATTCCCCAAATTCCCCCTTAATTTGTTTTTGTTTTTTACTTTATGGCAAATGTATTTGCTTTGTGAATCAAGATTTTCCTCTTTTTGGGGGCTGGGAAGGTGGCTCAGTGGTAGAGCGCTTGCCTTGCATGCATGAGGCCCTGGGTTTGATTCCTCAGCACCACATAAGCAAAAAGAAAAAAGCCGGAAGTGGTGCTGTGGCTCAAGTGGTAGAGCGCTAGCCTTGAGCTGAAGAGCTGAGGGACAGCACCCAGTCCCAGAGTTCAGGCCCCACAACTGGACCCAAAAAAAAAAAAAAGATTTTCTTCTTTTTATTTTTTTCCCCTTAAGATACAATCCTAGTTCACCTTACCAGTTGATGATGTATCAGTTCAGCCTTTCAAAACCAAGTAGAGGGGCTGGGAAGGTGGCTCAGTGGTAGAGCGCTTGCCTTGCATGCCTGAAACCCTGGGTTCGATTCCTCAGCACCACATAAGCAAAAAGAAAAAAAGCCGGAAGTGGTGCTGTGGCTCAAGTGGTAGAGCTCTAGCCTTGAGCTGAAGAGCTGAGGGACAGCTCCCAGGCCCAGAGTTCAGGCCCCACGACCGGACCCCCCAAAAAAAACAAAACCAAGTAGAATACTCCCTTAGATCGGAAGACACTTTTTCTTTAACTCCTAGAAGAAATTAGGCTTAGCTGTATAAAAGTAGAAAAACAATACTCAGCTGTCATGCAAGAAAAGGAGGGTTAATTGGACTCATCATCACATTTTTTCTTAAATTTATTTCTTCCATTTCTTTTGTGCATTCCTTTTTTTATTCTTAACACCCCAGGCCAAGTTCCTTCCTAACAGTGGTGATTCCACCCTGGCCATGTGTGCCCGTGATGGGCAGGTTCGGGTAGCAGAACTGTCTGCCACACAGTGCTGCAAGAATACAAAGCGTGTGGCCCAGCACAAAGGAGCTTCTCACAAGGTAAATAAGCCTTTGCCCCAAAGTTTGTGAATCTAGAATCTCTATGGGTCTTTGCCAGTGTCCTCTCTTAGCTCTCTACAGCTTACCTCCTTTGTTGTTATTGTTTGTCTCAATCTTAAAATCTTAAAATTTATAGTTAGGAAGAGACTAAAAACAGCCACTTAAATTTCAGGGTAGATAAGTATTAAAGAGATCCCCAGATTATATAGTTGAAGTATTCACTAGATTATGTACAACTCCTAGATTGAGCCATGGTTGGTTTAGAGATCTTTGAGGTCTTCTAAGCTTTCCAGACGTCTGATATATACTGATTTTTTTATTTGTTTTGAGTACTGGGATTTGATCTGAAAGTCTTGTATTTGCTAAGCAGGTGCTTTTCCATTTAAGCTACTCCACCAGCCCTGTTTTCAGAATGGCTTTTCATGTTTGAGAGCTCCCAACTTTATTGCTCACAGCTCTCAGCTCATGAATAGCACTATTTCTGGAAGCCCTGGAAGTCTTGGTTGCAAGTCAGTGAGAAGACCCTGCCCAGTCTCAGGGTAGATATTGTGTTTTTCCATGCTATAAATGAAACTGGGCTGGGAATGTGGCTTAGTGGTAGAGTGCTTGCCTCGAATGCATGAAGCCCTGGGTTTGATTGCTCAGTACCACATACACAGAAAAAGCTGCAAGTGATGCAGTAGCTCAAGTGGTAGAGTGCTAGCCTTGAGAAAAACAAGCTCAAGGACAGTGCTCATGCCCTGAGTTTAAGCCCCAGGACTGGCCCAAATCAAACTAACAAACAAACCCACCACAAATGGGACTCTCTTCTTATACAACCTAAGAAAATATGTAAGTGGATTTGAGTATTCCTTTCTAGTCCAGATAGTTTGGGAAAATGAAAATTACCTAAAGGTTTCTTGGATATTTTTAAGCCTAATCGCCAACTCACTAATTTTTAGAGCTAAGATATAAGGAATGAAACTTCTGAGGGAGAGGAACAACAACAACAACAACAAACTTCTCCACATCTGAAGGTGTGGAATTGAGTTTGTTTGAGAATAAACTCTTAGTGGCTTGTTTTCCTTTGGTATCTCTGTTCAAGTCCCTTCTGGACTTAATAACAAGATGAGTTGAAGTCTGTCCTCAGTTGTATAGAATAAAGAAGCTTGAATAATTCAACCTGAGAGTGAGTGAAACTTAAAATATCTCTTATCTTGGGATTTTACAATAGCAACAATGAATGTAGGTTCGGGTGTTTGTGTTTTTTGTTTTTTTGTTTTTTTTTTGGCCAGTTCTGGGGCTTGAACTCAGAGCCTGGGCACTGTTCAGGAGCCTCTTTGTGCTCAAGGCTAGCACTCTATCACTTGAAGCACAGCATCACTTTGGCTTTTTCTGAATAGTTTATTGGAGATAAAGAGTCTACCGCCTTTTTTACCTGGCTTTGAACTGTGATCCTCAGATCTCAGCCTCCTAAGTAGCTAGGATTATAGGTGTGAGCCACCGGCGCCCAGCAAATGTCTTCTTTTTGCTGAGACATTTTAAACACAATCCTTCCTGAGGAATGAACTAGACTACCTCTAATTCTAATGTTTAGAAACCTTATCCTTACCCCTTTTTTCTTTCAGTTGGCCCTGGAACCAGACTCTCCCTGTACGTTCCTATCTGCAGGTGAAGATGCAGTTGTTTTCACAATTGACCTAAGACAAGACCGGCCAGCTTCGTACGTATAGCCATAGTATCTATAGAACTCTATCCTTTGGTTTTGCAAATACTCCTGTGTCTTAAACTTGGGTCCACTTGTGCCTATGATAAGAAGTGTATCTGTTTCTTAGCAGTGAAATACTACTCAGTCTACTTCATTTCTCAAAGAAAATTAAGTGATTTTTTTTTTTCATTTGTATATAGTGGAGACTCATGGGGAAATTATTCCCCTTTTAAGCTGTGTATTATTATAGAACATATCTTGTTTGGATCCACACAGAATCAGGGCAGACTCTCAACTCAAGCATTACTAGTTATATACTAGATGTATATAATCTTCAGAATCAAAGCTGCTTTGACCTTACTCTAGGCATATTATTACCTCCCTTCTTCTCTAGGGGTTTCTGTGAGAATTATCTTAATTATGGTATTATAATATATATACACACATATATATGATGTCCCAGGATAGTAGCTATTCCATGGCTGGAATTAAATTAGAGTTATTGCTGGGTGCTGGTGGCTCACATCTGTAATTCTACCTACTAACACTGTATGTTGTGTTCCAAGCTCAGTGGTTCAGTAGTTGTGCTAAATACATTTTCATCTTAGAATATTTTCTACTTAAGATGGCTTTACTGGGACATACTCCCACCAGAAGTCAAGGAGTAGTTTTGTAGGTCTCTAGCTTTGATAAAATTACTTCAACTCTATTTTTTTTTTTTTTTTTTTTGCTTTTTTTGTTTTGGCTGGTCATGGGGCTTGAACTCTAGGCCTGGGTACTGTCCCTCAGTTCTTCAGCTCAAGGCTAGTGCTCTACCACTTAGAGCCACAGTGCCACTTCCAGTTTTCTGAGTGGTTTATTAAAGATAATAGTCTCACAGACCTTCCTGTCCAGGCTGACTTTGAACCATGATCTTCAGCTCTCAGCTTCCTGAGTAGCTAAGATTACAGGCATGAGCCACCAGTGCCTGGCTATTTCAATTCTTTTTTTAAGATTTTTATTTATTGGTTGGTCGTAGGACTTGAACTCGGGGGCCTGGATGATATCTCTGAGCTTGTTTGCTCAAGGCTTTCACTTTACCAATTGAGCCATAGCACCACTTCTGGTTTTCTGGTGACTAATTGGAGATAAGAGTTTATAGGGGGCGTAGGGGTAGAGTGCTTGCCTCGAATACATGAGGCTCTGGGTTTGACTCCTTGCAGAAAAAGCCAAAGTGGCACTGTGGCTCAAGTGGTAGAACGCTAGCCTTTAGCTGAAGAGCTAAGGAACAGTGCCCAGGCCCAGAGTTCAAGCTCCACAACTGACCAAAAAAAAAAAAAAAAAAAAGAGTCTCATAGGGACTTTTCTGCCTGGGTTGGCTTTGAACCAGCCTCCTGAGTAGCTAGGATTGCTTACAGGCATGAGCCACTGGTGCCTGGCTATAATCAATCATTTTTATAGCACTTCTACATGTTTCCCAGAGAGCTCTAGACACTTTTTGTAATTACCAGTTGGAAATTTAGGCATAGAAAGATTGAATTCTTTGTCAAAATTACATGAGTCAGTATTTTATCCTTTTTTTTTTTTGTCGGTTGTGGGGCTTGAACTCTGGGCCTGGGCGCTGTCCCTCAGCTCTTTAGCTCAAGGGGAGCGCTCTACCACTTGAGCTACAGCGCCACTTCTGGTTTTCTGGTGGTTTATTGGAGATAGGAGTCTCACAGTCTCTCCTGCCCGGGCTGGCTTTGAACCGCGATCCTCAGATCTCAGCCTCCTGAGTAGCTAGGATTACAGGCGTGAGCCACCAGTGCCCGGCTTATTTTATCCTTTTTTATCTTTTCCTTTTGCGCTTATATGTTAACTTTTCTATTTGTCATACCATATACCTCTGAAAATGTACATTGCTATGGAAAGAACAACATTAATATCTATTGCTTTTCTCTATACCAAATCTGCTTCTTGTTAGCTAGCTTGCTAGCAAAACATACTTTTGACATGTTTCCTACTTGGTTTTGTGAGGTGTTTTGGCTTAGTTGGGGTAACATTCATTTTCACTGACATCTGTACTCTTCTTTTCATGAAAAGCTGCAGAATTTTAATTTTTTGTTATTAGGTGATATTCAGAAGGGTTACATGGACTGGGAAGGTGGCTCAGTGGTAGAGCACTTGCCTTGCATGCATGAGGCCCTGGGTTCAATTCCTCAGCACCACATAAGCAAAAAGAAAAAAAGCCAGAAGGATTACAGTTACGTAGGTTAGGTAAAGAGTACTTTTCTTTTTGTACAAGGTTACCCCTTCCCCTGTTCTCTCCCAGTTTTTTCCTCCCATTCACACCCACAAGTTGTACAGTTCATTTTCAAATGTGTCTAGTGAGTGCTACTGCTGCATTTGTTTACCTTTGTTCCTCCATTTCCATGCCCCCTCACCATCCCTAAGACAGATAAATGAACAAACAAGACAAAAAGGAAAACAAAAACAGCAACAAAGAAAAAAAAACCTTGTTTCCATTTCCTAGAGTTCATTTCAACAAATATTGTATGGTCAGACACACATAGGCATTGTACCTTTGTGTTCCTCTCCTAAGAGTATCCTCCTTTTGGTCTCACTGTGTGTGAAAGACTAGAGTCCTGTATAATGTATCATGTCCCTGTGTATTTTAGATCCAGTTTCTCATATCAGAAAACGTGCCATTTGTCTCTCTGAGATTGGCTTACCTCACTTAACATGATTTGTTCTTAGTCCATCCATTTCTCAAGCTGCAAGATTTTTAAATAAAATCTCTTCATTTTGCCTAGAATGGTTCTAGACTTTCTTGACCATGCAGAGAAGATGCTAAAAATGTTTCTTTCAAAGAAACTTGTCATGGTTGTGTTTCTTTCTATTTCCATAGTATCAGAAATGAATAAAACTGCCGGCGCCAGTGGCTTATGCCTGCCAGTGGCTCACGCCTGTAATCCTAGCTACTCAGGAGGCCGAGATCTGAAGATGGCTGTTCAAAGTCAGACCAGGCATGAAAGTCTGTTAGATTCTTATCTTCCATAAACCACTAGAAAACCAGAAGTGCTGCTGTGGATCAAGTGGTAGAGCTCTTGCTTTGAGCAGAAGCGTGCAGGGATAGTGCCCAAGCCCAGAGTTCAAGCCCTACAAGCCCTACAACTACAACCAACAAAAAAAAAAGAAGAAAAAAAATGAATAAAACCTTTAAGATAAAAAAACAAAAACTAAAACCAAATCTCTTCCTATAATTTCTTAATGTTTTTGCTGTAACTTTATTAATCTTCATGTTGTCAAATTTGATTGGCTACAGAAGAGTATTTCATGGTGCTGCATCATCATCATCATCATCATCATCATTACTATTATTGTTATTATTTGGTAGTAGTACTACATGTAGAAGTCAAGGTTTCATATTTGCCAGGCAGGTACTCTTACTACTTGAACCGTATCCCCAGCACTGCTTTTTGCTAGTTAAATTGGAAGTAGAATCTCATAGCCTTTTTTCCTAGTGTGATCTCTAACTGCAATCCTCTGGATGTCAACCTACTGAGTAGCTAGGATTACAGGTGTGAGCCAACAGTTTCTGGCTAATATTGTCTCTTTAATGACTGATGGAAATCATGTTGGAATCTAGCTAAATTGAAGCTTCTGAAGAGCAGTACATTCATATAGCTTTAGCATACACTTTTTTTTGGGGGGGGGGTCAGTTGTAGGGCTTGAACTCTGGGCCTGGGCTCTGTCCCTCAGCTCTTCAGCTCAAGGCTAGCACTCTACCACTTGAGCCACAGCACCACTCACCGTTTTCTGAGTGGTATTGGAGATAAGAGTTTCACAGACTTTTGTGCCTGGGCCAGCTTTGAACTGGTATCCTTAGATCTCAGCCTCCTGAGTAGCTAGGATTACAGGTGTGAGCCACCAGTGCCCAGCTAGCTTATGCTTTTTATTGTATTTATTAATTAATGAACAGTGTATTTTGTTGTGACATTTTTATAATGTATATAATGTACTTTGATCATATTTATTTTAAATTTCTTTCTCTTTTCCCCATGACACCTTTTTTTTTGGGGGAGCAGTCTTGGGGTTTGAACTCCCTAAACTTCTTTTGTTCAAGGCTAACACTCTGCCACATGAGCCTCAGTGCCACTCTGGCTTTTTCTGTTATGTGGTACTGAGGAATTGAACCCAGGGCAGGGTTTCATGTATGCTAGGCAAGCACTCTACCAATAAGCCACATTCCCAGTCCCAGTCCCATGACACCCTTTACTTTTATGTTATCCCCACTCTCTAGATTTCACATAGCAAAGAAAACATGCAGTACTTGTCTTTGAGTCTGACTTTGTTTGCTTAACATGATGATTTCCAGTTCCACAGCTTATGCTTCTTTTTTTGTGTATATGAGCTGGTGCTGGGCTTGAGCTCAGAGTTTGTATGCTGTCCCTTACCTTTCTCTGCTCAAAGCTAGTGTTCTGCCACTTGAACTACAGCTGCATTTCTGGCTTTTTTGGTGGTTAATTGAAGATTTGAATCTCACGGGCCTATGCTGGCTTCACAGCAAGATCTTCAGATCTCACCCTTCTGAATAGCTAGGGTTATAGGTATAAGCCACTGGCACCCAGTTAAAACTAGAAAATGGCATCACTACATTTTTTTCCCCCAATCCTGAAATAGTATATTAGTAAATGCATGTGCTTTTTTTCTGTTTTAAATAAACTAAAAACACTTTGTTTCCATATTAAACTGTGTTTTTCTTTTTTTTTTTTGGTCAGTCGTGGGGCTTGAACTCTGGGTTTGGGTGCTGTCCCTGTGCTCTTCAGCTCAAGGCAAACACTCTGCCACTTGAACCACAGTACCACTTCAGTTTTCTGGTGGTTAGTTGGAGTTTCACGGACTTTCCTGCCTGGGCTGGCTTTGAATCGCAGTCCTCAGATCTCAGCCTTCTGAGTAGCTAGGGTTACAGGCATGAGCCACCAGCGCCTGGCTAAAATGTTTTTCTTCTTGACTACAAAGTCAAGGGGAAAAATTATTATCTTGGCTTACTATCTGTCTTTTGCAGGGATCTCCCTCTCTCTCTGTCTCTCTCTCTCTCTCGTTCTGGGATTTGACCTCAGAGTCTTGCACTTGCTGGTCAGGCACCCCCACCATTTGAGCATGACCTTGGTCCTCTTTGCTTAGTTACTTTTCAGATAGGATCTTATGTTTGTGCCAGGACAGGCTTGGATTGCAGTTCCCCCTATTTATATTTCCCACATAGCTGAGATGATGTGTATGCCACAATGTCTAATTTTATTGATTGCCCTGGAGTCTTGATAACTTATTTCCAGACTGCCTCAAATCACTGTCCTCCAGATCTCTACTTCCCAGATAACTAGGATTATAAGTGTAAACCATCATTATGTATGTCTCGATTTAATGTTGCTCAAGCTCAGGCTGGTCTTCAGCCTATTATGTAGCTCCAAACTGGCTTTAACCTTTTGATCCTTCTGCCTCTGCCTCCTGATGCTGGGATTATAAACTTCTACCACGATGCCTGGCTTCCATCTGAGTCTTTTGTAGAATATAACTATGCGTTTCTCCTCTTAAAGGAAACTGGTAGTAACAAAAGAAAAAGAGAAGAAAGTGGGACTATACACAATCTATGTGAATCCTGCCAATACCCACCAGTTTGCAGTGGGTGGACGAGATCAATTTGTGAGGTGAGTATGCTGGGTTTTTGTGTGTGTGTGTCTTTGAAAGTTAAGATAGATGCATTGTACTTTGCCATATATTCCTTTATGGTAAAATATGAATCCATTAACCACTTTCTTGAATATTTTTTACTCTTTTTCCAAAATACTTAATCACCTTGGGCTTTCTGATCCCTAATATAACATTCTGACAGATGGCTTTGTATGTTAAGAGGTTATTTTGTTTTAAAGAAGTCTGATAACTTGAGGAAGTTTTCCACATAGCAGCTAAGACATAAACCATATCTTCTGCCATTTTCACTTACTAAATTTCACTAGCAATTTTAAATACTGGTTTTGGATTTAGACATAATTTTATGACTTGGGAGGACTCATTGTGAACTGAGGGGCTTTTTTAGCTCTCGCTGTCTTTTTTTTTTTTTGGTCGGTCGTGGGGCTTGAACTCTGGGCCTCTGGGCCCAGAGCTCTTCAGCTCAAGGCTAGCACTCTACCACTTGAGCCACAGCACCACTCACGGTTTTCTGAGTGGTATTGGAGATAAGAGTTTCACAGACTTTTGTGCCCAAGCTGGCTTTGAACCTTGATCCTCAGATCTCATCCTCCTGAGTAGCTAGGATTACAGGCGTGAGCCACTGGCGCCTGACTTACTCTCCCTGTCTTAAGCTTCTTTTTATCTTCAGTAGTCCCTTTTGTTACTGGAACATCTATTAAAACATAGGTGTCAAAGAGGCACATCCCAGAGAAAGTAGACATCATGAATTCAGTTCACAAATCTGTGAGACTCTTTCCTCCAATGATCCAGCAAAAAGCCAGAAGTGGGGTGTGGCTCAGTGGTAGCATGTCAACTGAACTGTGAACAAAAAAAAAGCCAAGTCAAGAGTGTGAGGCCCTGATTTCAAGCCTAAATATATGTGTGTATATATATTTCTACAAAGATAAAAGACCAAGAGTATTAGATAGTAAGCAACACAGAATGGTCTATTTGCCAAAAAAAATTCCTTGTAGGGCCTGAATAGTTAAATGGTTTTACTAACTTGCATATATTTTAATTTTATAATGGATTAATAACATTTGAGAGGGGCTGGGAAGGTGGCTCAGTGGTAGAGCGCTTGCCTTGCATGCTCGAGGCCCTGGGTTCTATTCCTCAGCACCACATAAGCAAAGAGAAAAAACCCGGAAGTGGCGCTGTGGCTCAAGTGGTGGAGCGCTAGCCTTGAGCTGAAGAGCTGAGGGATAGCGCCCAGGCCCAGAGTTCAGGCCCCACGACCGGACCCAAAAAAAAAACAAACAAATAACATTTGAGAGTCATTGATTTTAATAAACTTAATTAGAAGAAAAGTATTAACAGCTGATTTACAAAAGCTAGTGTAACTGTCACTTTTTTTTTGGTGGTAGTAGGGGCCATGCTTGCTAAATGAAAATTTAGCATATGTACTAAACATTTTTTCAAGATTCAAAATATTCTCTTTATGCAGGATATTAAGGGATTGTGCAGGATACAAAGATATATTGATTAATTAATTCATCCAGCATCTACTGTTTGCTAATTATACCCTCAGGGAAATATATTCTCTGCCTTTAAAGAGACATGTATAAGAATTAAAGATATTAAGTAACTTTCCCTATATTATTCAGCTAGTAAATAGCAGATTCAGGATTTTTTTTCCTCACTGAGAAACTATTAAATACAATGGGGAAATTCGTGTATCAGGTAAAGGGAATGATGTATGTAGAGGCATCTTACCATCTTAACAGATGATAAGATGTGATAATGGTATATTCAAGGATAATAAGCTTTTGTTTTTTTGGTATAACACATAGAATCTTGAAATGGTAGCTATACTAAGGAGTTTGAACTTTATATAGTAGATTATACATTGAAGAGATTTAAGCAGGTAATTTACATAAAATTTTGCATTTTAGATATAATTCTGGTCTAGTATGAGCAGGGAAATCAGAAGGGAGTTACAGTAATCGACACACACACACATACATACTACATACATACATTCATCTACATATACACTGAGGGAATAGAATTGAGAAGAAATAAATTAGCTGTACAGGGAAAAAAAGACTTGATTTCTGGTTTGGCCCCTTTTATTACAGAAAGTGCTATTAACAAAGATTCAGCGGGGCTGGGAAGGTGGCTCAGTGATAGAGAGCACTTGCCTTGCATGCATGAGGCCCGGGGTTCAATTCCTCAACATCACATAAGCAAAAAGAAAAAAAGCCGGAAGTGGCACTGTGGCTCAAGTGGTAGAGCGCTAGCCTTGAGCTGAAGAGCTGAGGGACAGTGCCCACGCCCAGAGTTAGGCCCCACGACCGGACCCCCCCCCCCCCCCCCCCAAAAAAAAAAAAAAGATTCAGGGGAAGAAACAGGTTTAGAATGAGTTTAGTTTGGGAAGAAGAATGAGTTTACTTTGAGTACCCTATTACAGTATTGAATTGTTAAGTAGAAGTCTAGAGCTCAGACTAAATGTGGCCTGGAAACAGATTTAAGACATATATCTATATACAGAAGGTGGTAGTTAAAGCATCGGTAATGGAATTTATTATGCCTAATGAGAGCTCAACAGCAGCTATAATGAAATAGAATGATCATAGAAATGCATTATAATGAAAGTTACATCAAGTATCTGAATTATTTATTCTGGGATTTTCCATTTAATATTTTCTGACCATAGATGATTATTGGTAACTGGTATCATGAAATGTGAAGTTACAGATAAAAGGGGGAACTGCTGTATGAGCAGTATATTTCTTGCTTTTGAGTCTCTGTCATCTTTGAGAATATAGAAACAATAGTTTGAAAAAATACAAATAATATGGAAGTGGGAATGTGGCTTAATGGTAGAGTGCTTGCCTAGTGTGCATGAAACCCTGGGTTTGATTCCATAGTACCACATAAACAAAAGGCTGGAAGTAGCACTGTGGCTCATGTGGTAGAGTGCTAGGCTTGAGCAAAAGCTCAGGGATTGTACCCAGGTCCTGAGTTCAAGCCCCAAGACTGGCAAAAAACAAAACAACATATGAAGGGTCGGGGGTGTGGCTCAGTTGGTAGAGCACTAGCCAGTGAGTGAAAGTACTGAGTTTGAGTCCTAATCCTGAATCTCAAAAAGAAAATAATGGAAATAAACATAATATGAAAAATATGCACAGTTTCTATAAGGTTCACATATTTGAATACCAGATTAAAATTCCCTAACGTAAAGTCAGAGCAGAGCTTGAGACTAAGCTTCTGGGAAGCATCAGTATTAAGGATTGAAGAGTGGTTGGGCATCAAGGAAAAGTGTTCCAGAGAAAGAATAATAAACGATGTCATAACAAAAGAGCAAAGCCTGCAAGTATCTTGTTGAAATTAAAATGGTGAGTTGAGAATCAAAGCCTTAGAGGGGGCTGGGAAGGTGGCTCAGTGGTAGAGTGCTTACCTTGCATGCATGAGGCCCTGGGTTCAATTTCTCAGCACCACATAAGCAAAAAGAAAAAAAAAAGTCGGAAGTGGCACTGTGGTTCAAGCGGTAGAGCACTAGCCTTGAGCTGAAGAGCTGAGGGACAGCGCTCAGGCCCAGAGTTCAGGCCCCAGGACTGGACCCCCCCCCCCCCCCCCCCCCCGCAAAAAAATAACAACAACCTTAGAAGGTAGGTTAAATGAATAGGAAGTAACAAACATTGAAGGTAGATTATTTGTTTGAGTAATTTGACTGTAGAAGGAAGGAGAGAAAAATCATAGGACAGTAGGCAGAAGGATTTTGCAACAGTGCTTAGATCATGAGGAAGAGATTGAGAAATGGGCTGATCAATTGAACAAGGTCCCTAGAAATATGAGATTAAGAACAACTTTTGAGCCAGGCACTGGTGCTCAGTCCTGCTTAGGAAGCAAAGATCTGAGGATCACAGTTCTAAGCCAGCCTGGGCAGGAAAACATGTGATACTCTTATTTCCAGTTAAACCACCAAAAAAGCCAGAAGTAGAGCTGTGGCTCAAGCAGTAGAAAGAGCACTAGCTTTGAGCAAAAAACCTCCAGGACAGCACTCAGTCCCTGAGTTCAGGCCCCACAACTCTCAAAAAAAAAAAAAAAAAAGTAATACAAAAGTATTACTGACACACATACACACACCCCATTCAAGCCCCAGGACACACACACCGTTCAAGCCCCAGGACACACCCACACCCACACATACCCCCCCCCCCCACACCCACACACACACACCCGTTCAAGCCCCAGGACTACTGACACACAAACACGCGCGCGCGAGCTACCTTTAGAGAGACAAATGGAGGAGACTGTTGGGTGAGGACCAGGACTGGATCTACCTTGTTCATCATTACCTGACATAATGTGTTATAAATATTTATAAAGCTTAGATGAGAGAAGGAAAGTGAAAATAGCATGCTTGATGGAAAGGAATAAAAGAGTGTTGAGAGAGATAGGTACTTTTATAATGGTTTTTGTTGGGGTATGAGGGAAAGAACTGACCAGATAAAGCTTCAGTGAAGGATTGGAGCTCCAAACCCATTGGCTTCTATATAATAGCTTGAATTAACTGTGTAGGATAGTAACATGTAAAAAGCCATCTTATATTTAATGAAAATTAAAAAGTAATACAAAGGAGCTGGGAAGTTGGCTCAGTGGTAGAGTGCTTGCCTTGCATACATGAGGCCCTGGGCTTGATTCCTCAGTACCACATAAGCAGAAAAAAGCCGGAAGTGGTGCTGTGGATCAAGTGGTAGGGCACTAGCCTTGAGCTGAAGAGCTATGGGACAACGCCCAGGCCCAGAGTTCAGCCCCACAACCGTCAAAAATAATAATAATAATAATACAAACGTTGAGAAAAGAGAGGCTGGGAAGGTGGCTCAGTGGTAGAGCGCTTGCCTTGCATGCATGAGGCCCTGGGTTGGATTCCTCAGCACCACATAAGCAGAAAAAGCTGGAAGTGGTGCTGTGGCTCAAGTGGTAGGGCACTAGCCTTGAGCTGAAGAGCTGAGGGACAGTGCCCAGGCCCAGAGTTCAGGCACCATGATTGGCAAAAAAACAGAAAAAAAAAAAGTTGAGAAAAGAGATAAGCCACTTAAAGTGGGTATAAACAGGAGGAGGTGTGGCTCAGTGCTAAGAGCACTTGGAAGTGTGAAACCCAGAGTTCAAACCTCAATGCTGCCAAAATGTACCCTAACATAATGCTGGGCTCTAATGGCTCATACCACCTAGCTACTTAGGAGGCTAAGATCTAAGGATTGAAGTTTGAAACCAGCTCATGCAGACAATTCAAAGAAACTTATCTCTTACAGAAGTGGAGCTGTGGTTCAAGTAGTAGAAGGTTAGGCTTTAGTAGGAAAGCTAAGCAAGAACACCAGGCTCTACACGTGCCCCCCACCTCCCAGATATAATAGTGAATTCCTATTTAATAGGGAAAATACCTGGGTGAAAGTGTAGAGGCTGGAAATGGCTGGGGAAGGGAAGATCTTTATAGAAGAGTATGCACCAGGAACTTGATTGGGAAAATACTCTTTATCAGCATCCAGCCAGATGCTCACTGCCACATGAAATTACAACTCTTTAAGGTATCAGCTCAAAAGTTTTGACAGTTTTGTTACTTTTTCCATTACAGGATTTATGACCAGAGGAAGATTGATGAAAATGAGAACAATGGAGTACTCAAGAAATTCTGTCCTCATCACCTGGTAAGGTTCATGAAGGGTCAGTGAACGTTCCTGACATGGCTTGATTCCAATACTGTCCCCCTATATCTACTGTCATAGTGAAAAAAGCTTGGATTTTCAATCAGACACCTAGATTTGAATTCTTTCCCACTTACCTAATTTTTTGATCTTGGGCAGTCACTCCATTTTGTTAACTTTTAGATTTCTTATTGACAAAATAGATGACAATAACTGCCTTGTACCATAATGGCGAGGCCTAGTGAGACAGTGTGTATGAAATTGCTAGCACAGAGAAAGCAACCAAGGAAGCAGAAGTGTGACTCTTTATCGGTAGTGTGCCAGCCTTGAGTGAAAAAGTCAGGTGAGAGTGCAAGGCCTGAGTTCAAGCCCTAGTACCAGCACATGCGCACGCATGTGTGCACACACACACACGCACATGCACACACACCTATCTGCACTAAATAAATAAGTAAATAAGGCAACCAAGAGAGAGCCCTAAGACTTTTCCCCTTGCTTGAAATGGTTATGTTTTATCAGTCATACTACTGCCTCATCCCACCCCCACCATCTGTCTGTCTCTGGGAGAAGATACAGGGGAGTTTTCAGGAAAACCTATTCCTAAAAGTGTATGACAAATGGGGGGGAGGGGCATCAGTCAGTATCTGCTCCTTATTGCAGGTGAACAGTGAGTCCAAAGCAAACATCACCTGTCTTGTGTACAGCCACGACGGCACAGGTACGTGAGCAGGGCCCAGCTCCTAGGCTGGCATGCCCCCTCTGTCTAGGGAGCTGCTGAGCCAATGAGGCATGTGCCTTCCAGTGCTCACCACTGTGCTACAGCTCCAAGTGGAGCAGTTGGGGGATAGTTGCTGATGGTGAGCACGAAGTGGGAGGACACAGTATAGGACCCTTTGAGATAACCAGGCACAATTTGTGAAATACTATAGATAATATTTGGAGGCCTGTCCAGAAGCCCAGGCTCTTGTCTGAGCAGCTGCTTATGTCTTTGATTCATTGCTGAGTTAATGAATGTGATCTTCCTTAGTATTCTGCTACCCCTGGGTTGGTACTGTGTTCCTAGAGTACCTTTTAATAAATTCTCTTGCCTGCTGTTCCAAGTAAGATTGGTGCTATACCCGAGTATTAAGAGAGCACTACTTGCTTCTTGCCCCACCCCAACCCCTAAATCCTGGTCTATTTTTCAGCCTTCACCGCTGTGTTCTTGTTCTTGGCAGAGCTCCTGGCCAGTTACAATGATGAAGACATTTACCTCTTCAACTCCTCTCACAGTGATGGGGCTCAGTATGTTAAGAGATATAAGGGTCACAGAAATAATGCCACAGGTGAGATTATTTTTCTAGGTTTTTGTGGCCTAAGCATATTGACTAGGAGAGCCACAATACTCACATTGCACAAATAAGAACTACTTAAGGAGTAGGCTGTCACTTTGGCAGTGAGAGTTTATCTCGAGTCTTCATGTTTTCTCCACTGTGCTTGAAGAAAGAGGGATCAGTAGCATCTTCAGTGTAGTGATGTTGTCTAATTGGTTTGGGCATGAATCTTAACTGACTTTTTTATCTCTTTATGATTTCAGGTAACTTTAGAATAGGCAAAAGCCTTTGTCAGAGAGTCAGGGAAAACCTTTAGTCAGTGTTGCTGAATTACCTGAAGTGGAGAGCAAACGTACAGCTACAGGAGGGAAGATGAAATAATTCTTTAAAAATATTTTTTATTGTTATTATAAAGGTGATGTGCAGAGGGGAAATAATTCTTTTGAATTAGGGAAATCTTCCAATGAAGATTGGTTTTCCTTGGTTCTGTGTCTGTTCCCAACAGGGAACTAGGGTACATTGGAGTCATCTTTTTTTTTTTTTTTTTTTTTTGGTCAGTCATGGGGCTTGAACTCTGGGCCTGGGCGCTGTCCCTGAGCTCTTCAGCTCAAGGCGAGCACTCGACCACTTGAGCTACAGCACCACTTCTGGTTTTCTGGTGGTTTATTGGAGATAGGAGTCTCACAGTCTCTCCTGCCCGGGCTTGTTTTGAACCGAGATCCTCAGATCTCAGCCTCCTGAGTAGCTAGGATTACAGGCATGAGCCACCAGCGCCCGGCCTGAATCCTGATCTTATAAGTAATTGTGTGTTTTATATATATATATATATACACCAGTATCAGAACAATTGATGATTCAAGAGATATTGGCAAAGTACCAATAGGGTACATATCAAGGATAATCCTAGACTTAGGGAATTGCTGCCTAGGAGTATACAGAGCTAGAATAATTCAGATTGGGACAGGTAAGGCATTTATGAGGTCTTTGGTTGTCTGATAGAGTGTAAATGAGGCAGGCTATTGCCCAGGGACTCCAGACTCCTATGCCTTTGGAGCTCTTTGGGAGAATGTAAATAGTCAATGGTACTAGTATGATCTTAAAACTCTCTATTACACATGCATGCATAGTCTCTTGCTTTGTAAAAATGAATTGTTTGGCTCTTGGCTGATTCAGAGTTGGTGAATAACCAAATTCTTTGTGAGGTAAATAAATATAGGCTTAATGTCAACTATAATGTGGTTTATTCCCTCATTTATCTTTCAGTAAAAGGTGTCAATTTCTATGGCCCCAAGAGTGAGTTTGTGGTGAGCGGTAGTGACTGTGGGCACATTTTCCTCTGGGAGAAATCATCCTGCCAGATCATTCAGTTCATGGAGGGAGACAAGGGAGGTGTGGTGAGTATGGTGTGGTGAGCTGGCTGGCTCCCTAGTTTCTCAGGTAATTCAGATAGGTTCTAGCAAGAGCAAATAATGTTCAGTGACTATATGATATTCCCTTGAAGGTGTTAAGATTTGATAGAAAATTTTCTTTTCTTCTGCCCCCATTAGGTATGGCTTACTGAAAAGAAGGGGGTATTTTTGAGTAGATCTCCTAACCTGAATGAGATAAACTACTTCTAAGAGTGGCTTTTTTTCCAAAAAAGAAAACATTAGAATTTAGAACACACCGTATTATGCAAAGTCTTCCATGCTTATTAAAGGGATAAAATGTTTGTTAAAGGTATATGATATGTCTTCCATGTCTTATCCCTTTAATTAAGTAAGCCTGATCTTGGCTGATTTCTAGATCAGCATATAAAAGCTAAAAGGAACTTTTTTTAGTGAGTTAGCTAAGTCAGAATATGGTTTGCATATAGTATAGTATAACATAGTATTCAATATTATTAATATTAACATTTAGGGAAATGCATGTTATGCTTAAGAGGCACATGTGTATCTATAACCCTCCATCCCTTAAGAGTAGCTGAGCAGCTTGTTATCTAATCCATGATCATATCATAGTCTGCCTGTCCTTGGAGTTCTAAATGCATTCTTTTTTTTGGTCGTGGGGCCTGAACTCTGGGCCTGGGCACTGTCCCTGAGCTCTTCAGCTCAAGGTGAGCACTCTACCACTTGAGCCATAGCACCACTTCCGGCTTTTTCTGCTTTTATGATACTGAGAATTGAACCAAGGGCCTCATGCATGCAAAGCAAGCACTTTACCACTGAGCCACCTTCCCAGTCCTAAAGGCATTCTTTGTGAGGAGAGTAAGGGAGAGTAAGGGAAGAGTAAGGGAATCCAGTTAAGGAGGGAAGAGTCATTAGCTTTTAAGATGTATCTAGCTGGATGTAGTGGTACATGCTTATGATCCTAGCACTTAAAGGCTGTGGCAAGAGAATTGTGAATTGAGGCTGCATTACATAGTGAAATCTTGTCTTTTAAAAAAAAAAATGGGGCTGGGAAGGTGGCTTAGTGGTAGAGTGCTTTCCTTGCATGCATGAGGCCCTGGGTTCGATTCCTCAGCACCACATAAGCAGAAAAAGCCAGAAGTGGGGATGACGCTCAAGTGGTAGAGTGCTAGCCTTCAGCTGAAGAGCTGAGGGACAGTGCCCAGGCCCAGAGTTCAGGCCCCACCACCGAACCAAAAAAAAAAAAGGAAAGGAAAACAGTATCTATGTAAAAGGAAAACAGTTAACTATGTAATCTTTTATGCCTTTGAGACCCAGAATTAGAAAAAAGCTCACTAGCTTTCTACTGTAAAGTTTTTAGACCACAGAAGAAAGGAGAACATTTAGGTTAGACTGTACTGGTCATCCAATGTATTCTGGTTATCCAAGGCCTCTTAAGACTGTTTGGGTTCTTTTCTTTTCATCCCTTCTGATATGTGAAGAACTTCAGAGAGTTCAACCATGACTGGATGAGGCTTAGTAAAGAATGGAGTCTTAGTGGTAATTCTGTAATAGTCATACATTCTGTTCGAGAGAGATGCAAGGATGAAGGTCTTTTCCCAGGCTAGCACTTGTCCATTCTCCAAAAGCACTATGAAGACTATTGTTTTCAGTTTAGTGAATATACCAGGGTTTGGTGATTAATCCTGGTTCTCAATGCAAAGAATATCTACTTGGGATGGGTGGACCCCAGGCCTGACTTTTAGTGATTCAGATTGTGAGAGACTAGACCAAGAGATATAGTGACTACTCACAAAAGTATTTCCTTTTTTTGCCTTTGTATAAGCCAGATGATGTTTGTGGTTCTGTTTCCTGTTTTATTTTATTCTGAACCTTCAGTAATGAAGATTATGAAGATCTAACCTCAGTATACACTATGAAGCAGTTTAATAATGTAAAGTAGAGTATTACAACCAAAAGGATATTGCCCAGGTCTCTTGAACTCTTGTGTTGGGGTCCTATCTTGTTTAGGAGATGATATCAAAGAGCAGCTTAGTCTCCTAAAAGCACTTTGATACTTTATCTCATTTTTTATATTAACTCTAGCTGAAGCATCTTAGGCCAGAGCTTTTTTCTATGCTAAATATTATTATTATTAGGATAAATCCTAGCATTGACAGATTTGGTGAAGTGATTAGGTACCCTGGCCCAGAAAGTGTATTGGTTCCCCCTTCAGGCTCCAACTCAGGTACCATATGAAATTTGTTTTGTTTTTTGCTTTTTTTTCTCATTATTGGCTTTCTCCTTAGTCTGAAACCCAAGGAGTTGTTCCTCTATACTTTTTAATTTTGCCAGCTTGTTTGAACAGAGATAGCTCAGTGTATAGGCCACGCATCTATTGGTAATATTTTCAAGCTTTAGAATATCTGATGCCTCATTATGCTCCACCCGCACTGCTTGAAGGGCCCAAATATAAACTGTAATTAAATATAAAATGGGAGGAGGGGGGAAGAAAATGTGCTTTTTACTTTACTCTTAGACTAACTCTTAGAATTAAATCTGGAGGTTGGTCCAGAAAGAACTAATAGGTTTTTGCCAAGGGTTGTTTTGTCAGATGATAGGGCAGCTACAAGGCAAGGTGCCTTTCCTATCTTCTCTTCATTGGACTAAAAAACTCAAAAATGCTTTAATAGCTAAATTTGGGATGAGCTCTTCTGGTGGAGATGGGAACTTCACTGCCCTGCTCTGCCCTGCCCTGCCCTGTCCTGTTAGGGAAGCTCACATTTCCAAGACAGACAACAGAGGGTTATGAGTACTTTCAGACTAAAGGAAATTGGGTCAGAGGCTTGCCATCCATAAATCTATAGTATTTTCTCTTGTCAGTGAATAAGAATGTCAGAAATTGTGCAGTGAGTACAAAAAGAAGTTGCCTAGTTACTTTGTGGTGCTTTTTCTATAGCTGAGTTTATTGTATTCTTAGAGCAAGGAGCAGGATGATTGCCCTTGGGATGTACAGGATTCTCAAGCTGACTTTAGCTTCTGATGTTCCCTAGCATCTCTAGTTCAGTCTCCTTTTTCCAGACTCAGCCTTCCTCAAGTTAGTAAACAGCACTAAGTGAATATAATTGTTCTGATTCTTTGGAATTCTGATTCTTAGTGATAGCCGGTTTTTTCAAATTTTTAAAAATTTGGCACTTGTTGAAAGTTACTGGAATGTTTTTATTCCAGCCTCAGGGAAATTAAGAGTCTTAAGAGTCTGGAGTGAAGTCTTCTGGACCTCACTAATTTTTTGTAAAGCCACAAGTAAGCATAACCAGTCCTAGGGATTATGAAGGATGACACTACCCCAGATCTCTACATAGGAAATGATGAATGGGCCTAATCTTTTTTTTTTTTTAATCTTCTAGGGCATTTTTATTTATTAAAATTATGACATGTCTGGTCACCCAGAAGAAAGAGGCTGAATAAATTTTTTTTTGAAAGAACCTAGATTGCTTTTTTTTTTGTATTTTATTTTACTTTATTTTGGTATGATGGTTTTATTTTATTTTCTCCAGTCCTGGGGCTTGAACTCAGGGCCTAGGCACTTGTCCCTGAGCCTCTTTGTATTCAAGGCTAGCACTCTATCAATTGATCCACAGTGTCACTTTCGGCTTTTTCTGAGTAATTTATTGGAGACAGGCATCTCACGGACTTTCCTGCCTAGGCTAGCTTTCAACTGTGATCTCAGATCTCATCCACCTGAGTAGCTAGGATTACAGGCCTCCAGTGTCTGCTTTTATGTTTTATTATTACCTTTAAGTAGTTGTCCAAAAGAGTTGCCATTTAACAAGGCAGTTTATGAACATGATATATCTTGATCAGTGCCACCCTGGATGGGCCTAATCTTGTACCCAGTTTGGTATCCCCCCCCCCCTCCCTGTTGCGCACCCCCTCTCCTCCCATGCCCTCTCCAGGGCTCTTTGGTCTAGACTAATAGTAGACTAATAGTGATGGGCTGTTTGCCTTTCTAGCAGCTGTCTTAGTCCTGATCAAAGGTAGTTACTTACTCAAGATGAATAGTGATTTTTAGACTCTACTCCCACATACCTCTGAACCTGTAGTTTCTTTCTCTCCTTATCAGGTAAACTGTCTTGAGCCCCACCCTCACTTGCCTGTGCTGGCAACCAGTGGCCTAGACCATGATGTGAAGATCTGGGCACCCACAGCTGAAGCCTCCACTGAGCTGACAGGGTTAAAAGATGTAAGTGGCTGCTGCATAAGTTTTTGTCTACTTAGGCATTTACTATTGCCATTCTTCACTGTCCAAGGAAGCAGTAACTTGTTTCCCAGTTCTTTAAATTATTGCTCTTAACATCTTCCCCCACATTCCTCCCACTGCCTCTGTAGGGCTAGTCTTGTTCCAAAGGACAGTTTCAAAGTGCTTCTAGTTGGTAGTAGGATTGGAGCAGGGAACATCTTTGGAAAGAGTTAGTCTATATTGAAATCTTCAGCTTTCTTTGGCTGAACCTGAGGCATCCTTTCTTCAGCTAAAAATACACAAGGGAAGCATTTTCCTTTTTGACTTCCCGGTGCTAGGAATTGAACCCCGGGACTGTGCATGCTAGGCTAGTGTACTACCATTGACCTAAATTCTCATCCCCCTTTTGAGATAGGCTCTCAAAACTAGGATGGTCTCAAACTTGTGATCCTCCCCTGTCTCAGCTTCCTAAGTATTGAGATTTCAGCGCTAGCCCACCTGGGCACTATCACCAGCCTTTGTGATCATGTCCAGGATCTCTTCATTTCTTTCTCTGCCCCAAATGCTTTTGCATTTCAGGTGATTAAGAAGAACAAGCGAGAGCGTGATGAAGATAGCTTGCATCACACTGACCTATTCGATAGCCACATGCTTTGGTTCCTTATGCATCATCTGAGACAGAGACGCCATCACCGGGTAAGCTGGGATTGGACTGAGCTCCCTAAAACAATGATCCTTTTAAGAGTGTTAGAAAGTTCCAGTGCACACTTCCTCAATACTTAAAAGAGGAAGGAATCAAATAGCCTTGGTTTGATTTCCCATCTGCTGTTCTCTATCCCTGTAAGAGCCAACTGCAGAAAGTTGTCTGCTGTCTTCTGTTGCCGTATTTATAGAGCTCTATCTTCATAAAGGCAATGACAGATAGAGAGAGGGAGTGGTGGAGAAACAAGAGGTCTCTTCTGTGTTTACTCTCATGCTAGGAATGGCCTAGGGTGGGAGTCAGCAAACTGGCAATTTGTCTGCTGCTCATTTTTATAAATTTATTGAAAATGCAGCTGCATTCATTCTCTAATGTCTGTGGCTCTACAGGGCAAAGGTGGGCAGTTATAAGAGACCACATGCCCACACATCTGAAATAGTTAGTCTATCCCTTTAAGAAAAATTCTAAGACTAGGATCCCAGCTACTTGGGAGTCTAAGGCAGGAGGACCAAGGTTTGAAGCCTAACATAGTGAAGTGGTCTCATAAATAAACAAATGTAAGTAAATATCTTAACAACTTTGTTGTAGTTTCATGGAAATTACTAACAAGGCTTTCCCATCCCACAGCGTTGGCGAGAACCTGGGGTTGGGGCTACGGATGCGGACTCTGATGAGTCTCCCAGCTCCTCAGACACATCGGACGAGGAGGAGGGCCCTGACCGGGTGCAGTGCATGCCATCCTGAGGCCCCATACTTAGGAGGGGCAGGCTCGGGCTGCCAACCCAATCTTGCCTGGGCAACTCTTTCCTGCCTCAGGCCCTTACATTCAGCAGAAATGCACTTTGGACTTTTTGTTTAGATGAAAGCTATCTCAGAAGGAGAACAGACCAGTGGGGAACAAATCAACAGAGAGCCCCTAGAAGTGGGAGTTGAGCCCTGGAATAGGATTCCATGGAGAGGTGCAAAGGACTCATCAGAAATGGCCTCCCTCTGAAGCCTTTTTCCCAGGGTGAGGGGGAACCTGTTTTGTTAACTGGTTTAGGATAGGAATGGGGCTTCTTTTTCTTTAATCTTCCCTTGTTTCTTTTGCGGGGGTGGGTGGGGGGAACAACTGGCTGTTCAGTACCAAGGGGGCAAGAGTGGAGGATAGGAATGCCACTCTCTCTTTGGCTTAGGTTTTTTGACCTTTTTTTTCTTTGTTTTTTAAGAAGTCTATGACAGTTTCATTGTTTTTTCCCCAAGCAACCCTATCCCAAGATTCTGTTTTTCTGGGAAGTCCTTAGAGCCCCTAACCATCCCACACTTCACTTTCCACCTCATTCTCTGTAGTTATCACAGTGTTTTGCACTTGATTATGTATCCTTCACTCTCCTCTCTTCATCCCATTATCCCCTAAGTGGGTCTGGTGAGGGAGGTTCAGGAGAGGTGGGAGGAGGGGCAGAGGTGGAGAAAGAATAAGAAGGATGTTACCTCTTCTGTTATTTTATTTTATTTTTTTGGTGGCAGCAATCTCTCTGTCCCTATCACTGTTAAGAGGCCTAATTTTATATCTATAAATATATTAAAAAGCAAGTCAAACTTGGATGTATCAAGTTAAAATTATTGTCAAAGTTTAAATACCTATATATTCTTTATGAATGCAATAAAGGGACTTAAAGGAAGAATGATCAAGAGTGATGATGTAGAAATGACACCTGTGGTAGTTTGCCCTTTATTTATGGCCATTAGAGCTTGGGGCTTACCTCCTAGGTTTTAGAAGACTCAAGAATGAAGGATCCCTAGTTCTTCCCTTCCCTATGTTGGTGGGGATGGGAAAAGCAAGAAATTCCTACTAGCTCTTTGCTTTAGATCTCCTACCTCTCAAATTTTGTGGGAACTTCTGGGGTGTCTTTGAACTCAGGGCCTGGGCATTGTCCCTGAGCTTTTTTGCTCAAAGCTGGTGCTCTACTACTTTCGAACCATGATCCTCAGATCTCAACCTTCTGAGTCACTAGGATTATTCTCTCAGCCTCCCTGAGCCACTAGCACTCAGCAAGCTTGCTCTTCTAATCAAATGCTAGCCTTTGAAATGTGATTGAATTTTGACTTCAGAAAGTGCACACACTGCTGGCTCTTTTTTCCTGGTCTTATGACAGAAGGTATACACTCTCTCTCTCATACCTTTGGCTACTGGATTCTTTTAAGCTGTTCAACTCCAACCAACTCCCTTCCCAACCAACTCCCTTCCAAGTGAAAGAATGAAGGGAAGAACTGTTTTTTTCTTTTTGTCAGTTGGGGGGCTTGAACTCTGGGCCTGGGCGCTGCCCTCAGCTCTTCAGCTCAAAGCAAGCACTCTACCACTTGAGCCATAATGCCACTTCCGCTTTTCTGGTGGTTAATTGGATATGAGTCTCATGGACTACTTTCCTGCCCAGGCTGGCTTTGAACTACAATCCTCAGATCTCAACCTCCTGAGAGCTAGGATTACAGGCGTGAGCCACCAGTGCCTGGCTAAAGGGAACAACGTTCTGGGTTTGACTTGATACCTTGTATTGGTATTTGGGGACTGAGAAACAAATCAGTAATCCAAAGATTTATTCTGGTGGCTGGGTCTTAAGACATCTGTCATAACCACCAGTCACTGAGTATAAAAGTCTCAGTTGAATGTTTGCTTGTAAATGCTTCTGTTGAAATTGCTTTGTCTATAGCTTCCACAAGATCCAATTCTGAACCCCAGGACAAGCAGGAGGGAGGAGGGAAAGAGTAAGAGAATTGTATTTTTCAGACACTTCTTCCTCCTGCTCCTTTTCCTAGTACTCTCAGACCATTTTAGCTCCTGTACTTCCTTTCTGAGGTAAGGAGTGTGGGATGACTAAGTAGTCTTGTGTCCTTATTGCTATCGGGGTGATTAGGTGGGCTGAAAACCATGCACTCTGGAATTCATTGTATTTTCTCAGTAAAATTCCCCCTCACCTTTTGTCTTCTGTGTGGTATATGGTGTATTCATTCTTGATATATTATTTCTATTTCTTAAAAGTAGGTACTTGGTCCTGCCCTCTCCTTCTGCTCATGTTAAAATTTTATGAAGTTTACACAGCTTCCAGAGCCTCATGCCTGTAATCCTAGCTACTCAGGAGGCTGAGAACTGAGAATCGCAGTCCAAAGCCAGCCCAAGTAGGACAGTAGTCCTCTGAGATTCTTATCTCCAATTAACCATCAGAAAACCAGAAGAGGTGCTGTGGCTCAAGTGGTAGAGAACTAGTCTTGAGCAAAAAGAGCTCAGGAATATAGCCCAGGCCCTAAATTCAAGCCTCAGGATTGGCACACACAATTTTTTAATGAAATCTAGTTGGAGATGTCCCTGTTTCAGTGCTTTGGCTTACAGCATGTTGGTGACTGTTGTAAGTAGACTAAGTCCTCTGTATCTCACTTAGGAAGTGGGGCTGGAGTCACTATATGGGACGTTTTCCAAGCTCCTATTCATGTTTTAGTGAAGAATGATAGGATAATACCACTCTCAGTTTGCAGTCATTCAGAGGCTCCAAAATGTCTGTCACTCATAGAAATTCTAGAATCAGATAACAGTACAATCATTCACCTTTATTCTGGGTTAGAACAAGGCCGTGCACACTGCAGACGGAGGAGCACATAAAGGGGCAACCTCACAGCAATTACAAAGGGTGGGAGGTTAGTCTTCTTAGATTTTTTTGTTGTTGTTGTTGTTTTACAGAGAAACTACTAGACTGATGAAAATAACCCTGTCTCTCTTCTCCCATTTTTTTCCATAAAGTAGGCTCCCTATCTTTCTCCCTTTCCCCTCATCTCATTCCCCTCTTCTCTCTCTCTCTCTCACACACACACACACATAGCATCCCAAATAGGACAGTTCGTGCTCATTTTCACCCAATTCTACAAATATCTCCTTCTTAAGGGAGAATCCAGACAGGGCTGAGGAGACTTGGAAAGGTCCTTTAAGGCAAAACCGTGGAGTCCTCGAGGTGTGTGTGTTAAGGCAGGTGTCCACAGCAGTGGCCAGAGGGGATGGGTAGAGTAGGCTGCATTAGGAGTTGAGGGTGCTTTTTCTAAACAGTCTGGCGTCTCCCTCTTCTAACAGCCAGCTCTTCCCTCCTACTAAAATCTTGTTCCCACATACTAAAAGCTCTTCAACTTTTTCTAGGTAGTCTCTGAGTTTGCATGTGAATTTAATGTTTGGTGGTTTAGAATCTTTTTTTGGGGGGGTGTATTTGTTTATTTAAAATAAAAAAGTTTTCTTTTTGGACTATGTAGCAATTTGACTGCCACTCCCTTAACTGTGGCATTTCCCTCCCACCCCCCGCTCTGGCCTTGACAATAAGTTAATGTTAGATACCACAAAAAAGGGCAGACATGGCAGTGCGGGTTTAATATACATATATGTAGAATATATATGTACACACAGTTAGCACGGTCAGGGTAGGGAAAGGCATCTTGGGTCAGGCAGGAGGCTGGGGTCACTCATTGTACTCTAGTGACTTGACTACAAGGCTTCCACAAGCCCAAGGGACCCAGGGTATCAAGTGAGAAAGGTTACCAAGGTCCTTTCTGGATTGAATTGGGGATGGGGATCAGTGCAAGGAAAACACTACTTGACAACTTCTCTTCTCTTTGGCTTGGGGTGTTCTAGATAGACCTAAGTAGAGAGAGGGAAAGTTGTCAGCAATATCCACATTGTGACTTTGTAGATGGGAGCAGGGTGAGATTAAAAAACTCAGGATCTCATTCCTTAGCCCTCATAGGTTCAGGGTCAGTGTATCCCCACATCCTGAAAAGGAATAAAGAAGTGGAAAAGGGCCTTGTCTCTCCTGTATCCCCATTTCAGGCTCAGTTGTACATGTTCACAGCAGTTTCTCCAGAGCAGAGGTGGATGGGTCATTGAATGCTGACTGCCCAGTGGGGTCTGATCACTGAATCCAGGAAAGGATCCAGTGGTCTTCTCTAAAGAGAAGATCCCTGGCTCATACCCATCCTAGACTCATGATGGGGGATAAAAAGGGACTTGCTGGCACCCAGGACCCTCCAGCCTGAAGAACAGCAGGAAACTGGGCTCTAGCCAGTCCAACACAGGGTTCTCTGGCTTTCTTTCACCTCTTCCAAGTGGGGATCAAGTGTCCCAACCTTCCCACCCTACTGCCTTTCCTAGACCTACCGCACCTCTCCCATACCTTACCACTACCTTAGTTCCTCAATGTAGGGAAATGCAGATCCTTTCTGCTTCCATACTTTAGAGATGGGGGTAGGGTGGGTGTAAGAGGAGGAAGAATGCCAATTTCTATTTGCATAGAAATAGCCTCTGCTTCCCCCCCTAGACTAGGGAAACTACGCCCCTACCTTATCCCCTGACTCCCATCCCCTCATGTAGAGGAGGAACTAGATGAGCTAGACATAGACAGACAGCCAGAGCGTGCGCACACGCACACACACGCGCACAGTAAGGGTTAGGACCAGGTTAGTAAGTGGGTATAGGGTGGGGGTTCCCCTTGACCCCTCCCATGGAGGATGGGGAAGGGAATGGTCCGTTGAAGGTCCAACCTTCCTCTTCTTCCTCCCCCTTGCTCAGGCCTTCTTCGGTGGGGGAGCCAGTTTGATGATCTCTTCCTCAGAGGGCTGCCGGATAATGTCTAGGGGCAGAAAGGGATGAGTACAAGGATGGAAGTTGTGTGAGATGCCAAACATACCCACTGAGCATCATCCTCCATTCCCAGAATTCATAGAATTACATGACATACGTCTGTAATACCAGCACTCTGAAGTGAAGAATGGTTTCCACTTTGAGACCAGGTTGGGTTGTAAGACCTGGTCTCAAGGCTAGAGGAAGCAATATTCTTACCTTTGTACTTCTTGGCACTGGGTATACGGGTTAGCTTAGTATCCAGCTCATCCTCTTCAGAGATCTTTAGCACTCGGGTTCTATAGTCAACCACCATAGTGAGTAGATCAGGGCGGCGAGAGATCTCAAAAATGTGTTCAATATAGGAGAGGTTGTCTGGAAGAAGATGGGAGACCAGATCAGAAGTAGGGCTTTAGAGAAAACCAGCTTCCCCTTCTCTGCCTGATCATTGTTCTGGAACCAAGGCTGAAAAGATAGAGGCTACGAAGCCAGTAAAGAAACCTGAGGCACCCACAGCACAGCACAGAGGACTGGTCCCAGAAGTGCTTCCTCAGTGAAGCATCCAGGTTTATAGATTGGGAATAAGGGCTTTGGGTTAGATAAATTACATTCTGTGGAGTTTGGACAATAGAAAAAACTGCTACCCCAAACCCACCCTACTCTTTCCCTTTTAAGTGTGCATCAAGATGAATTTCCCACAACACATGTGGTATAAGAGGGGTGGGATTTTTATGGACAATCCAGGAAAGGTTCTCTGTGTGTGTTGATCTTGGGGGTTGAACTCAGGGCCTGTCTCTGAGCCTTTTTCAAGGTTAGTGTTCTACCACTTGAGCTACAGCTTCACTTGAAGCCTTTTGGTGGTTAATTGGGGGTAAGAATCTCATGGATTCTCCTGCCTAGGCTGGCTTTTGACCTGTGATTCTCACATCTCAGCTTCTTGAGTAGTTAGTATGAAGCAGCACCTGGCCCTGAGAGTTTAAATGAGAAGGTATGAACATAACCAGAAGGCTGATCTCCATGGTGTGGGCAATTCCA